ACGGACACGCCGGCTCCCAGGCATGCTGTTAGGGACGACATTACAATTTGGAGATGACGCGTAAATCATCAGCGGATCGTGTCAGGGCGTCTGGCTCAGGCCCCAAAGATGGATATAAGCCAATCAGCTTTACACCACAGGCTCCGAATCCTGTGAAGGGACATTGGCATTCCACAGGTAAGGCTGTCGGGGTGATATATCTGCTGGCCTCATACCTGCGGGTCATCTGTCTCCTCATTTACTGTCCCTCATAACAATATATCATCAGATATATGTATCATTACAGGAAGAGAAGTAGAACTCTCAAGGCTGCCATCCGTGTCTCAGATTGAAGATTATTTCAGTGCTGCGCAAGCTAATGAAAATACTGTGTGTGTGTGTGTGTGTGTGTGTGTGTGTGTGTGTGTGTAGGTTATGTATATATTACATTGTGGGGACCATTTTTTGTGGAAAACTCAGTTTTATAAAAATCAGTGAAAAAACTAAAATTACTATAAGTCTTGTATTTTGTTTGGTTTCTTATGTTTAAGGTCAGGGCTGGGTAGCGGTTAAGGTTATTGTATTACTTTGCACAACACACGCAAACTCTCTCTCTCTCACTCTCTCTCCTTCTCTCTCATATATATATATATATATACAGTAATGCTTTACATTAACTGCACCTTCATAATCCTTTTATATTGCATTCATAAAATGTTCAGTACACCTTCATAATGTATTCATTAAGTATTCATAAAACATTCATAAACATCATGTAAGTATACCACAACATCCTAACGTGCCATAGCAGCCGTAATATGCGTTAATAACTAACATTATGTAATAACAAACATTGTAATTGTATAATCATGTAATGTTTGTCATTAATGTATATTAAAGCTGCTAAGGGATGTTAAGATGTTAAGTGTACTTGCATGCTGCTTATGAATGTACTATGAATGCATTATGAAGGTGCACCGAATGTTCTATGAATGCATAATGAATGCACTTAATGTGAAGCGTTACCATATATACATACATACATACATACACACACACATACAATAAATGATTTTTTGTTGCTGCCGGTTTGATGTATGTGTGTTTCAATGTGTTCATTCCCTCTTGTCTGCCAGACAGATTGAAACAGCCCATGAACTGATAGAGGGAGGAATCAGAATGATGAAAAAGGGACATTAAGAGTAGTGATGGCTGAAATTAGCCTATGAATCCACAGATAGGACTGCCTACACTAACCCCATTCCAATTGGTTACTTTACTGCTATCTGACCGCTAAAGTAGGCGGAGACTGACCCTATATGGTAATCCATCCTCCTGTCACAGAAAAAGGATCTTATTATTCTAGAGCAGTATTTCCCAATCCAGTCCTCGCGAGCAAGAGCATGGACTGTCTGTGGGTCCCTGAGGACTGGATTGGGAAACACTGTTAAAGCAATGTTCTCAATGATCTTTTAGTAAAACCAGTACTACCCATGCTGCCAAGACGGACAGCGTGCTCAGCGAGGATCATGCTAACTGCAGCCCCGTATGTGCAGCTGCTCTGGCAGGGACGTCGCATCCTGTTTCAGTGACGGGCCTGCACACAGCCCTGCACACAGCCCTGCACACAGCCCGGCACACAGCCCGGCACACAGCCCCGCACACAGCCCCGCACACAGCCCCGCACACAGCCTGGCACACAGCCCCGCACACAGCCCCGCACACAGCCCCGCACACAGCCCTGCACACAAACCCAGGTTGTGTATTTGACATCCAGCCTTGGTTGTATGTGTGGAGTTGGCATGTTCTCAAAATGTGCGTGGAGTTGGCATGTTCTCATAATGTGTGTGGAGTTGGCATGTTCTCATAATGTGCGTGGAGTTGGCATGTTCTCATAATGTGCGTGGAGTTGGCATGTTCTCATAATGTGCGTGGAGTTGGCATGTTCTCATAATGTGCATGGAGTTGGCATGTTCTCATAATGTGCATAGAGTTGGCATGTTCTCATAATGAGCGTGGAGTTGGCATGTTCACACAGTCTGCATGGACTTGCCAAGCTCTCATTGTGTATGAGGGGCTGGCATGTTCTCTCCTATCTGTGCAGGTTTCCTGCCACAGTCCAAAATGATGCACTTAGATGAATAAGAGTTACTAGATTGCCCTTCGCACGTGACTGTACACATGTGCTCTGTAAGGGACTGGCATCTCATGCAGGCTCCCAGGGACCGGCGTCAGGCCCACTGCCACTGTACCCCAATAGTGTTTAGATGGTCCAGAAGCTGGAGAATTGGAAGAAACACCAGCACATGCTCTTTTCCAGAGTGTGATGGCTTGCTCTCAGTCAGATGGCAAAAGCTGTGACCTCTATCTGCTGTCATTATGGAGCATTTTGGGTATGAAAGGTGTCAAAATCTCCCTCCAAAATCTCTGAGCTCAGTTCTGTGCCGATTCATCCCACAGGGGTCATTTCCGGGACTTTTGGTTACAGGGTCCTTTGGCTAAAGTGCCACACATCATGGCTGCCAGGCATGAAAATGGCCATGTTTTGCAAACTGACCCTCTCACAACTTAAACTTCTTGCTGTTGAGAGCAACTGCTTGTCTTGAGAGCATTGGGTGAAAGCAGCCCCACTGGGTGTCCCCCATAACACAAATGAACATCACTTTATAGCTTTGAGGCCTTTTCCATCCATCCATCCATCTCCTGTAACCGCTTGTCCTATTCAGGGTAATGGGGGGTCTGGAGCCTACGGGTACAAGGCAGGGAACAACCCAGGATGGAGGGCCAACCCATCACATGGCACAGTCACACACACACACACCCACACACACCATTCACTCGCATATGCACACCTGTCGGCAATTTGCCTCCAATTAGCCTCAGCATGTTTTTGGCCTGTGGGGGGAAACCAGACCCAGAGGAAACCCCATGACTCCACAAGAACATGCAGACTCCACACACATGGAGCCACGGCAGAGACTCAAACCCTGGACCCATAGATGTAAGACAACAGTACTAACCACTGCACCACCGTGCTGCCCCCAGGAAACCTTTTCTGTATGTTAATTATCATCATATAGTGTTCAGAGGAAGAACAGTTAAAATGATCACTTCCTGGGGTTTATGGGAATTGTACAGAATAAGTGGAGTAGATTATCTAGTTAATAAATACGCAAAAGGTGTATGAATTCTGATACTATAGGGACTGGATTCAAGGTATCCATGACATAACTAAAATGCAACAATAGTCCAGATTTGCTTGTTTTTAATATCCATTGCAATACCCTTAGGTAAACCTCAGTAATAATCTAAAAATAGGATCAAAGATGAATCGAGCTAGCTATGTTTTTGTTATTGAGTCATTGTTCCTTAAAATTATATGGGTACCCTGGGGTCAGGATCACAGAGCTGCCTAATATTCAAACTCCAGATCTGCCTAATGAATATTTTCAGCATTTTGAATGTCACAGACGGAGGGAAAAAAGAGACTGCAGATGAATCGCACTGCAGGTCATAAACCCTGCGATAATTATTAACTGTCCATCGGTTTGCGGGTCAGAGCGTTCCTTTGCCCAGCGCTTATGGGACATCTTCTCTGTGTACTCAACACAGATGGGCCGGTGACGATTCCATTTCCCCCTGGCTCCTTCTTTCCGCAGTTATCCCTTGCAGACAGACATACGCGGAGATATCTGAACACAACTTCACGATGCGAGATTAACAGTTTCATGGCGAGATACCGCATGCACACATTTATATGTAAATTCACACGCATGTGCGTGCATAAAGTGCTCGTGTCTCTCCCCGCGCGGAGCGCACGTCCAGATCGGGACATGCCCAGCTAAAGTAATGCTAATTTGATTGGTATTGCTACAGTTTGGCTCTGACTCTGCCTCCCAGCCACGCCGACAGGGCCCAGGCGCCGGTGGACGAAAGCACGCTGCTGGCCTCAAATTGCTGGCTTTAAAGTGGACCGGGTGCCATTTGGAGCATCTGGGCCCCTCACGGTTTTTCCGAGGCACTTATCCAACATGGAACAATGACAAGAGAAGGCCACACTGGCTCCTGGCATTTTTATGATGTGTTTCGACACAATGGAATTGACAGTCCTAGTGCTAAATGGGGGTGTTTAAATCCATCACTCAGATGACAGCACTGTGAACAAACACTCCTCGTTCCCAACAGCATCAAAGTGGGGGATTAATGGCACAGTTACTCTGATTCAAGTGGTCTCACTTTTAAACACGCAGAACTTATTTCAATGTGCTCTGATCTATAGAAAGTATCCCAGTTGCATCCTCCACACTGTAAACATGGTTGAGGTTTCTGGTCTTTATTGCAATCACAAACCGCCATATGGGGAGGTATTCGGCGAAGTTACCCCAAAAGAACATGATGACACAATTGCCACGTCAATATACATGAATTTTAGTACCTACCAGCCATAACGTAATATTATAAACACGTGTCTTTGGGGGCAGTCTGTG